CATTCCTCCTCTGAGAGCAGCTATGAGTTCCAGACATCAAGTGAAGCCACAGAGTGATCGCAGCGCACTTGGAATCCTCTTTCTTGTGAATAATTCTGTGATTGCTCAGGTTCTCTGTGTGAAGCTCGCTTACAATATGACCTATTTTTCAGCTCTCGCACTGCTGCAGATTTTTAAACCCACTCCTTTTACGAGAGTATTTTCAAAAAAGTCCTGCCTGCCATTCATGTGAAACGGTGTCAGATGTTTCTGGGGCGTTCCTCTTGGCTCCCTTGTTTTGTCACATGAATACATGCTGAGAAAAACCTTGAAAAAGCAGAGAGAAAGAATGAAAAACAGGAAAAGCTGAAGTTTTCAGGGAGTCTAAGAGAACACTATCAACACGCTAGGGTTTTTTTCTTCAGTATGTAAGCTACCTCTAAATAGGACCCACATGGGTTTTTACTACAAATAGTGCCAGCAGGCAGTAGTCCTCACTTCTAAAGGAAGATTCAGGTTCGGTGGTTAACCGAAGACTGTAATGCTCCACCGTGGCTCGCCATCGCAGCACAATATCACAGGATAACAGAACGCCTCCCATTTCAACACCACTATGAACGCAATGGTTAATTCTTCCCTTGTAGCTCAGAAGTGTTATAGTATATGTGAAAAAACCTGAAGAACGCTGTTATTTGACACACTTGGCAACTTGACTGGGTTAGCTCTGATGTGTTGCTTCTGTCTCTGATGTGTTGAAGTCAGTATCGCAGTGGATTTATTTTATTTCAAGTAAAGCTGTCTACCTTAACGTTGTGTTTGATTTCAAGCTTTCTCTGTGTCAGGCTTGATTTACTTAGTCAAGCTACTGTTTTGTTGTCTAATTGTTCTGTTAACCTAAGCGCAGGGAGTTCAAATAATGAAATATTCTCTCAAAGGAAGTCTTTGAAGCAATAGAAGCCTCTTTGAGATGACACACGAAAGAAGCTTCGCTTCAACACCATAAAAACTGGCTGCCCGAGGGACGCGACTTAGTGTACAACCTACATGTACTTCTCTGTGGTGTTAGCAGGCCTATAATTCTTGATTTTCTCTCTCTCAGCACTGAGGGAACAGCTCTGTTTGTGGCAGGAAACCTTTCTTTACAATTAACAGCAAGTCAATGATTTTTCTGTGAAAACTTGTTCTTAAATATTAGTTTCTATGAATAACAAAAAGTGCTACTATATTAAGAAGGTGACTGTAATCTTTTTGTTCATTTGTATTTTAGAAACTTCTGGATTAAGGATATTGCATTGAGCAATTTAACTAACAGCTTTATAATGTTTATCTAAATAATGTGATACAAGTGTCTGATTTATTTTGCAAGGTGAAATAAGACTGCATTTTCAGCCACTGAAACATCTATCTATCTATCTATCTATCTATCTATCTATCTATCTATCTATCTATCTATCTATCTATCTATCTATCTATCT